AGCGTGTACGACTGCTCAATGCCGTGCTCAGCACAGTAGGCTGCCAAGAGGTCGGAGGCGAACTCACCACCCCTATCAGAGTGCAAGCGCAGGACAGGAAAGTCCGAGTGAAAGCGCTCGCCTAGCTGGAGACGGGCTCGGCTGATCCAGGGGATCAAAACACCAGGGACGTCACCCTTGGCGCGCAAGGGGAAGACCGTGGTGTAGCGCGAGTAGTCGTCAACAACTATCAGGAAGTACCTCTCCTGACCCTGACCACGGACGCGGGCCGGGCCCCACACGTCCATGTGGAGTGTCTGCAGGGGAGCGGTCGTCGGGGGAAAGGAGGAGGAGTGAGGAGCAGCGCGCTGCCGCCCCTCGACACAGGGAATGCAGTCAGGAGCAGGGGAGTCAGGAAGGGGAGGGAGCACCCTGGGAAGACCAGCAACAAGGTCCCGTTTGTGCATGGCCCGCAGGCGCTGCACAGACGGGTGACCAAGGCGGTGGTGCCAGAGGACGGTGTCGTTCGCCAGAGAGCGACACGAGCAGGGGGCGGACAGCTGACCTGACGCTGACGCAGACGCAGCTACCTGAGGGGACTCAGTGGTCAGTGTGTACAGGTCAGACCCCGGCTCTCGAGTGAAAGTAGCTAGGTGGCGGCCCGTCCGAGCACACGTGCAGTGAGTCACACGCTCGTAGGCAGGGGTGAACTGGTGAACACCCGAGTCCTGGAGCGCACTACCTGCCACCAAGTTCGTGGAGAACGAGGGGAGGTAGAGACCTGAGAGCGTGCCGGACGGAACCGCTGGACACGGAAGGGTGGTGGAGGAGGTCGCAAGGACCGGACCCCCAGAGGGGTCAGCAAGAGAGACAGCAACCGGCCGAGCTAGAGGCTCAAGGACAGTGCGGTCACGAAAGAAAGAGCGAGAAGCACCTGAGTCCAGTGTGAAGGTGTGCAGTGCTGCAGTCGACTCAGTACCAGGGGGCACAGACGCACAAGCACCTAGAGCAGCAGCTGCAGAAGTACCTGTGGAAGCAGACACACTAGCACCTAGAGCAGCAGCGGGGCTGGCCTGAATGCCCGGGTCGGGCGGAACACGCAAGTACTGAGCACCCTCTCCACTAATAGACATCGCATACATGGCAGTGAGAATAGCATCAAAGTCAAGTGCCCAAATATCAACACCCTTCCTGAGCAGATCAGCCCAGCGCGGCAGCTCACCCCCACCAGGAAACTGAGTGCGCCACGCATCGTTGAGGCGGGCGAAGCAGCGCTCCGTCTGGTGCGGCCCCCCACACGTCTGGCCAGTGCGGTCACCTGTACGAATAACGTACTGGCAGGTGACGCTGCGCCGCGCATACCACTCACGGGCGGCCTGAAGGGTCGGGGCAGGCTGCTGACTCTGACCGCCCCCCGGGCCTCCACGACCACCACCCCCTCCGCCTCCGCCCCGGCCACCTCCACCCCTGCCGCTGCCACGACCACCTCCGCCTCCGCTGCCACCTCCGCCCCTGTCACCACTCCCAACACCGCTGTCACCTCCACCACCGCCGCCACTAGCCTCTCCAGTCGCACCTCCACCGCCACCACCTCCACCCCCGCCTCCTCCGCCACCACCCCCACTCCTGCCACTCCTGCCCCTGCGTCGTCCGCCTGAAGCAGACGCAGCCCCGACCTTCTCAGCACCAAGGAGGTCGACAGCAGCAGCAGAGGCGACAGAGGGGAGGAGGGGGGAAGGGGAGCACCCCTCGAAGAAGGGGCCGCGGGGGTCGCCACGAGAGGTGCCTACAGCGACGATACTAGCCTCGGCTGCAAGCAGTTCCTTCTCGAGGAGGGCTATGGTGAGCTCAGTGGGGGAGCGAGAGAGGAACTGGTCCCTGACAGGGCGCAGAGAGTCAGGGAGGCGGGTGACAACGTGGTAGAGGGTGATCCAGAGCGGGGGGGGGTTGCTAGCGAGGAACTCATCAGGCATGGCAGCGCGAAAGCGAGCCTCACTAGTCTTAAGGTGGGTGATGAGGTCTGCGACAGTGTGAAAAGAGGCTAGGTCGGGGAACAGGTAGGGGAGAGTGAGGCGGCCTAGTGTGGCAGAAGCGGGTGAGGAGTAGCGGGCCACTACAGCTGTGTAGAGGTCCTTAGCAGTCTTGCACTGGCCGAAGTGCTCGCGCTCATCTAGCGGCAGGGAGTTGCGAATAGCAAAGCGAGCGTGCGCGTCACGGGTCTGCCACTGTGAGCGCTCAGCTGGGGGGGCAGTAGCGAGTGGGGCGGTCGCATGGCCGAGAGCGTGGTCGTACAGTGTAATATCTTCCTTGGCAGTGAGCTGTAGGAAAAGGTGCAGGTCATCTAGCCAGGTTTCGAATTTGACCGGACGGCCCTCGGCGTCGAAAGCTAGAACAGGAGGACTAGCCATAGCGACAGCGGCAGTAGTAGAAGCAGTAAAGTCACTGAACAGGCGTGCGCAGGGTCAGCAGGGCCGGTGGGGCCTACGGACTGTAGTGGCGCACAAGCAGCAGTAGCAGGAAGTGTAGTAGTAGGATCTGCAGTGGTGCACAGGCGCAGCAGGCGGCAGCGAGAGCCGGCGCAGCAGGGGCGGGCTCAGCAGCGGTGATACGCAGGCGGCAGCGGGCGCAGCAGCGGCGGTGCGCGGGCGGCGGCGGGCTCAGCAGCGGCGGTGCGCGGGCGGCGGCGGGTTCAGCAGCGGCGGTGCGCGGGCGGCTGCGGGCTCAGCAGCGGCGGGCCGGGAGCAGTGCGGGCAGCGTGCGGGCCGGCGGCGGTCAGCGCACGAGCCGCGCAGGCTCAGCGCGGGCTGTGCGGGCTGCTCGCGGGCTGCGTAAGCGGGTCGCGGGCGGCTCGCGGGGGTTCGCGGGCGGCTCGCGGGGGTTCGCGGGCAGGTCGCGGGCTGCTCGCGGGCAGTTCGCGGGCTGTGCGCGGGCTGCGCGGGCTGGTCGCGGGCTGTGCGCGGGCGGTTCGCGGGCTGTGAGCGCGGCGCGCTGTGCGGTTCGCGGGCGGCGTGACGGGGCCGATCGGGGCGCTAAGGGGCGACGCGACGGGGGCCGTGAGAGGCCGCTAAAAAAAAAATTTCGACGGGGCCGCAGGGCCGCTAGATCGTGCTAGATCGACGGGGCCAGCGGGGCCGGAAACAAGCGAAGGTAAGCAGGTAGGTAAGTCGGTGGGCCCTAAGAACAGTCCTAGCGAAGGACCTGCTCTGAAACCATGTCAGAAATAACTGAGCAGGAATGAATGAACTAGAACAGAGTTTGGTACAAGTAGGAAACCCTAACTTTGTGTACCCCCTAAGGTGTAACCCACTACAGCCTAGACAATATAAACATGCAATGTTTGACATCTGAACCCCGACAACCGGGTCCCACACGCAGAGCAATTCGCCGAAATGTTCTACAAGCCGTCTGGACTCGAACAGCAGACACCATAAAAAATTCAAACATCATTGCTACGTGCAACGCTGATCGCCGCCGCCAACCTGTCACTTACCACGCCAATGTCCTAGTTCTACTCAACACTCAGAACCCCCGTCTGTCCATCACATCGAAGCTACGCCCATGATATGGCGGTCCATTTCAAATTAGCTACATGATTATAACCGTCACCGCCCATCTCCTCCAACCTTTCAACTAGCATGTCAGTCTGTCGCCCTACGTCAATCTCATCGGCCCCTACGTTCCTTAGACGAGTCAATTGCCGCACAGCTGCCCGTCCAGCATGACATGACCATGAACAGAACCAATTATCACACCTGTGAAGATTCAGAGCCACTGAGTTCGTGACCCACAAGGAGCTTGCAGGATCCAATTCCTAATTCGCTAGAAATACCGCACGCGCACTGAAGACAACTGGGTGCCCCTTGATATAATCGAAAACCACCCCATCCTCACCAAGTATCTGCGCAGCCGCAACTTCCAGGATGTACACGCACTCTCATTAGGAGGGTTTTCTCGAGGAGGGGGGTAGTGTAAGGAAAAAAATACTTTCCTTACTTTGCGCCCCTATTTATTGCGTACACGACTGATCCCGCCAACAGTAACCAACAATGCACCGTTACCCACCACGACACTCGCCTTGACTACTGTTTACGCCACTGTTCACATCGTGATCCAACCTAACAACTCGGTTGGTAATTCGCGCTTGTGTCCTTCGCCTCGTCAAATCCCAACCCCAGTGCTAGGCCCATAGCGCACCCCTTTTTTTCGCGTTACCATCGCTATATGATATTTGCTTATCCCTTCACTCGTTGTACTATTTTGCTTCGATAAGAAGTTCTCGCTCATTCCTTTAATTGCACTCGTAACACTTATTTTAATAGTGGGTGCTCTATATGTGCTCATGATTTATGACCTTTCATTCATTACAAAAAACAAATACAAATGATCTATTGCCTGCGCCTGCCGATTCTTACTTGAAACATTAAGTATCCGACTCTAATAAATAATTAGCAATGCGAGTATTTGCAATCCAATCTCTTCCAGTATCCATAATTTGTAGCTCAAAACACAATAACAATGCAATCATGCGGCATACAAGAAGCACACCACTGCAATCATATTGACTGTGAAAAAAAAAAAGATATGCTGATATATGGTAGATATGTAGATATTTAGCGTTGAAGTAACACGCGGCGCGACCTACCCTACGGTAAACTTGTTCGCGGATTTCGCTCACAGCAGTTCCGCGTGAAGCGAATCGAGGTTTCGGTGAGTCGCCTGCCGATCCAATCGCTGTTTCGCCGAATCTCACTCATCGTCGCCCACGCGCACCCATTCGATCGCCGCAACCCTACCGTCAATCACCGCCCCGCACACTTCCTCCCAAAAGTACACGCTCACTCTCCCAAAAGTACGCGCACACTAATAATGTTGGACACCACCCGTTCAACCGCGTAATGTGCAAGTATTTATTAGGGCGTGTCTCTTTTTCTATTTTAGGTATTTTGGCGGACTGTCCGCTTGTATGAAAACGGACGGTTGCAATAGCGGGTATCGGACTGTCTGTTTCAAAAATTCGAAACATGAGACAGTCCGTAGGCACTTTCACTTTTCACCCCATGGCTGATTCCCGATTTACTGTAGCTTCGCAACAACTCGTACACCATCGTAACCCCAGTCACACACCATCGCCAAAATCGCAACTACATGTAGCGGCTCGACATCCCCCGAATGCTCAAAAACTGCACCCTTCAGATCAGGTGAAGGTTGGGTAGAGGAACCCGGAAGGGAGGTGTTGGGTGTAGTGTTGGCCGGTCGAGAGTTGTCATTTCCGCTTGACTGCTCCATTGCTGGCTGATTCTGATGGTTCGGTTCAGATTGCTGGGGGATTTGTAGTGTTGGTGGGGTTGGGCGCGTAGTGTCGGTTCAATGTTCAGGAGCGCGCCGCGCGCAAATAATAAATTGAACATGCGACTCGGTGAGTTTTTTCTTTAAATTCGTGCACCAATCACGTGTCAGAACTGTGCTTCTGGCCGTTTGCATTTCGAACTGACAAATGTTCATAATGTGAACCGACGTGTGGAGGAAAAGTGACGCCACGGTTCGAACTCTTAACGACGTCGCAAACTCCTTCGCGAAACAGTTGCGAAGATTAGCGAAACAAGTGACATATTCGCAATTCGTACGGTCCACGGCTCGAACCGTCGGAAGCAAAAAAAAGACACGCCCTTAGTCGAGGAGCAAGCTGCAGATTCAGTCACAACCTAAGCCCACTCGAGTATTCGTCACAAAGCTTCTTCGCACTTCGCAACCGCTGTTAATCGCTCACCACTGCCTTCCTTAGCCATCGCGCAATATTCGTACCTCCTAGTTCCAGCAGCGATCCCTCTTGACTGCACTCGTTTCGTCTCCATGGCGCGTTCGCCTCTAGCTCCCTCACTTGTGGCGGCATTCCTCGTAACCGCGCTATTCGCATCATGCGCGCAGTCTAGACTCGTCTCAAACGGACTGCTCGGGAATCGCATCCCGAAACGACCAGCACAAGTCACCAGCACCATCACTAGCACCGTGTCCGACCTAACATCCGCACTGCAAGCGCAAGTCAATTTATTAGAAGGGGCGCTGACGCAATCGCTCGACAAGCTTGCAACCGCGTTGAACGACAACGCATCCGCGGCAACATCGGCGCTTCAAGCGCAGATTTACGCCCTCCAGAGCAGCATCGACGCTCTAAACGCACGCATTGCAAACCTCGACCTGATCTTATACCTTAGAATCACGCGACCCGGCGGCGTTACTCCCCAGGTGACACCCGTCACACTCCAGTCGCGCATCTCGTCGCTTACAGGCAGCCTCCCCGCCATCAACAAGCGCGCCACATCGCTCACCACGGACCTGGCGGGCATCCTCCCCAACCTCCGCGCATTGCTGAGTCAGCGAGTGGCGGCGCTCACTCAGAAAGTGGGTGCGCTGAATGTGGACGTGTCGGCAGCGCAGGTGGATGCGTTGATCGCCCCGCTGAGTGACGCCCTTGGCGTGGCGGACCTCGTGGCTCTGCTGCCGCGCCCAGCAGGTCAGTCCCGCCATGTAACCACCAGGCCAGTCTTGCAAACTCTGGCAGCCGCCGGCGGCAGGTAAGTCCACAAAACTCTGAGCCACAGAGCAGTCTGCGTTGAAAGGCGAGTGCTTTCTTGAATGCTGACCGCATGTCAGTGCGCAAACCCTAACCCTGCAAACGCTAATCACGGAAACCCTAATTCCACAAGAATCGCGCAAACCTTAGTCCGTCAAACCAGATTTCGTCAAACACTTATGCTGCAGCCACAGGGCCATATGTTAGCAGCTGTTGCGTCGATTGTGCTCCTAAACAGCTGTGCATCTCATTCTTGCACCAAATGCTGCTGCTCATTTTTGCACTGTCAGCTGCTGCTCATTCTTGCACCATATGTTGTTGCTCTTATGCTAAATCTCTACTACTGCTCTCCTCCAACCCCATCACTGCAGGCATGCTGCGTGGCGTGCTCACCTCGTGCGAGGGCCTTCTCCCGGTGGGAGCAGCCAACATGTAAGACACGGCCCCTCACTCTCCTCCAACCTTCACCCTTACCTGTCGGAACGATGCATCATCGTCTTAGTCATCTTATCATTCCTTCCCGAGAACTTCAATCCTGTGTGATCCCCTTCCAAATGGGCTCTGACTTTCACAACCAGTGCCCTCCTGCTAAGTATATCCCTTATTGTGCACCCCCCCCTCCTCACCCACACCCCCGCCCCCTCCTCTCCCCTCCCCCCTCCGCCCCCCCCTCTTCCTCACGGCAGGGGCTCGGCTTACGCGGTGGCGTACGAGCTGGTGGCGACGGGCATGGCGGAGGCACCGCAGGCGGCGGCCATCTACAGCGGCAACAGCACGTGCGGGCAGGCAGCCCCACCCGTGGCGCTGCAGCTGCCCGGCACGTGGCAGCTGCTGAGCTCCGTGTCGTGGTCGCTGGCCAATGTGCTCACTGTCGCGCCGGCGGACCTGGCGGACGTGCTCAGCGCCATCCAGACGGGCACCAACGGGCAGCTCTACATTGGCTTCACGGGCACCGGCAGCAGCTTGTCGGGCAAGCTGCTTGGTGGCAGGCTTTGAAGGAGAGGGTAATGGGAGATGGATGCATGCGGAGATGGTGTGATCCGAGGAGGAACATCACAGATGCTCCATGAATGCCACTACGGTAGCCTAGGTGGTGCGATTCTGTGCATTTGTGATGTTCCTTCTGATGCAGTAGGACATGGTTTGTTTGTACAAATCTATTGCAAATTTATAGAGGCTGACCTATCACAATGCAGCCGTGCATCCCGACCACGCTAAAATATGTTGCGCTCGAGATACTAACTCGGACATGAAAAGAACATTGCATGACCGAAATTGGTCGCCACTTTCAATACAGTGTTGTGTGTGGTGTGGTTGCTGCTTCTCATGTTACTGCTGCTGCATCTGTTGCTGTTGCTGTTGTTAGTGCTGCTGCTGTTGTGGCGGGCAGGCCCTTGTGAGAATCTTACGGGAATGTTTTATTAGGTCAAGGTAGGGTGGTACAAGAGGGTGTCGAGAAAATATGTGTACCCCCTAAGGCTAGACCTAGTACTATAGCCTAGATAAATGTTAAACATATGATTTGACACACCTGTCAAATGTTGTAGCCTATAGTGAGCCCCATAGGCGAAGTGGGGGATAGCCAGCACAAGGGGTCACAAGACCAGTCAAGCAAAGCAAACCAAAGCAAAGCTAAGGGTGGATCACAACGTCACCACACATTCCGAGCAAAGGTTCAAGGCCTCAAGGCCGGTTCACATGCAGGATGATATATAGAGAAAAACAAACAAGAGCAGGTATATATAAGACACAGTACAAGCAAGGTCAAGAAGTGAGCAAGTGAGGCCAAGTAGGCACAAGACCTAGCATAGTACAAAAGCGCTGATGATCGCAAGGCGGAAGAGCCTTGGTGAAGATATCAGCAGTGTTGGCCCGAGAGGCCACGTACGCAAGGCGCAGCTGACCACGCTGCTGCAGCTCACGAGCAAGGAAGTAGCGAAGAGCGATGTGCTTCGTTCTGTGCTCCAGTCTGTGCTCCTGACACAAGGCGAGCATGGCCTTGTTGTCTACGTACAGAACTGGAGGAGAACGAGGCGGCTCTCCAAGGTCAGTCAGCAAGTAGGTGAGCCAGCGTAACTCCTGTGCAGCCATGGCTCCTGCGTAGATCTCAGCCTCACAGCTGGAGCTGAGAACAGAAGACGAGCGAGTAGACCGCCACGAAACAGAGCCGGAACCAAGGCTGAAGGTGTAACCTTGTGACGACCGCTGCGTAGCCAGGTCGTCGACCCAAGACGCGTCTGCGTGACCCGTGAGGACCACTCGACTCCGTCCTCCAAGCACGAGCCCCATGCCCGACGTACTGCACAAGTAGCACAACACCCTCTTCGCTGCAGCCATGTGCTCTGGTCGGTGTCTCCCAGGAGCAACATAGCGTGCGAGTATGCTAAGAGGGTAGGCCAGGTCAGGTCGTGTGCAGGTCATCAGGTACATGAGGCAGCCAACAAGCTCTGGGTACGGGCCACTCGGCTCTACGGACTCATCCGAAGGCAGAGCTGAGAGCGAGTGGCGAGTAGACAGAGGAGTGGCCTGAGGCGAGGAGTACGTGAAGTCGAAGCGCTGAAGGATCTGCTGCACCATGTGTGACTGAGTCAGGGTAATGGTGCGCCGTGCTCTGTCCCGAGTGATCTGCAGGCCAAGATAGCTGCGCAGTTCACCCAGGTCTGTGCACGTGTGTCGCTTCTGCAGCTCGGACTTCACGTAGGCGAGTCCAGCAGTGTCAGCTGTAGCAAAGACCAAGTCGTCGACGTACACGAGGATGTAGAACGGCGGCAAAGAGGTGTCGGTGCGTAGAAACAGCGACGGGTCTGCAGTAGAAGGAGCAAACCCAAGAGCCGCAAGTGTCGTCCTCAGTGTGTCGTGCCACTCACGCGGCGCCTGGCGGAGACCGTAGACTGGCCGCCGGAGGCTCCACTGGGTACCAGGAGGAAACGACCCAGTGAAGCCAGGTGGGCAGCGCAGCCAGATCTCCTCGTGCAGGCTGCCCTGTAGGAAAGCTGTGCTGAAGTCCAGAGAGTGAAGCTCGTAGTCACGGTGAGCGGCTATGTGTAGCAGCACCCGAAGAGTGGTCATCTTCGAGGTGGGAGAGAAGGTCTGAAAGTAGTCAACTCCCTGTCGCTGACTGAAGCCTCGAGCCACGTAACGCGCCTTGAAGACAGGCGGAGAACCCGGCGGCCGCTTCACCCTGAAAATCCACATGCCACTGACGATGTTCGGCCCAGGTGGGGGAACCTCGTCAACGTAGGTGCCTGTGGACTTCCAGGAAGCCATCTCTGCGTCCATGGCTGCCTTCCACTGAGAGGAGTAGGGACCCTCTATCGCCTCCGCGTAAGAACGCGGAGTCGGGATGTCTGGTGCATCCGGGTCTCCCTCAGGGGCAAGTAGCGAGGACACAAGATGAGGTAAAGCAGCAGCAAGACACTGGAACTCCTCCTGCCTGTCCTCAAGGACGTCCGTGCTAAAAGCACACTCACCCCCGACGTACGGAGGACAGACAGACTCAGACTCAGCAACAAGGCTAGAGGCGTAGTCTAGACGACAGGCAGCAGCAAAGTCAACAAGCTCAGCGACCAAGGCAGACGCAGCAGTAGACTCAAACGACGGGTCAGTGACAACAGTGGCTAGGAGACGCGTGACAGTAGGGTGCTCAGCACGAAACCGGTCCCAGGGTCTCCAACCGCACTGTCTCCCGCAGCAGCACCCCCAGAACCAGTACCTCCAGTCCCAGGGTCTCCAGCCTCAGTGTCTCCAGAAACGGCACCTCCAGACGCAGCACCCCCAGCCCCAGCAGCTCCAGTACCTCCAGCAGCAGAGCCCCGGGCTCCAGCAGCGCGACGCTGACGGCAACCGTACCCGTCGTGTAGCTGCTGAGTGGTGAGAGGCACACGGGGACGAAGGCGGCCACTCTAAGTAGGCCGCGCACCAGTGATCCCAGTACCCTCAAGCGTCTCACCTCCAGACTCAGCACCCCCAGACTCCGCACACACAGGCTCAGTACCCCCAGACACAGCACCCCCAGGCGCAGGACCTCCAATCTCCTCACGTGTGGGCTCAGCACCCCCAGACTCCGCACCCCCAGACGCAGCACCTCCAGGAGCACCACCCCCAACAGCACCAGAGTCAACAGGAACCGGCTGCAGAGGCGGCGAAGAAGGTCGCGGAGGGAACCCTGGAGGGGTCTCCAAGCGTGGTGCACGGCGGTAGGCCGCCGGGGCGTCAGCAGCAGCGTCACCCCCCTCAGGTGGGCCAGAGGTGTCGGAAGTGACCTCCAAAGGCTCAGCCAAGGGGGGGGGGTCTACCTGAGACACACCTGAAGGAGCAGGACCCTGAGGGGGGAGGGGGTCTACCGGGGGAGGACCTGGCGTAAGGAAGAGCGACGGGGGGGGAAGGGGGGCAGCGCGGTAGGGGAAGAGACGGTAGTACGGAACCGACTCGTCAAACGTGACGTCCTGGGAGGACAGAACACGGCGCGAGGTGGGGTGGTAAAACTGCCAACCAGGCGCATCAGGGGGGGAAGCCAAGGAAGACGCAGGGAACAGCACGGGAGGACAGCTTGTCCGCAGACAAGTCTCGGACAAAAGCCCGAGATCCCCAGACACGGAACGCAGACGCATCGCCAACCTTCCCCGTCCACCTCAGAGTGGGGGAGGTATCCGGCATGGATACCCGGGGCTGAAGGTTGATCTGACGCGCCGCGTACTGAACCGCAAACGGCCACAGAAAATGGGGAGCAGCCGCATGGATCATGGACGTGCGAGCGACATCCATGACCATGCCAATGCGGCGCTCAGCAATCCCATTTTGCTGTGGAGAGGCCGGAAGCGTGAACGTCTGGCGGATGCCCCTCGCACGACAGAAGGCTCGCAGAGGGCCGGAGGAAAACTCTCCACCTCTGTCAGAGTGCAGACGCAGAACAGGAAAGTCCGAGCCGAAACTCTTCCTGAGCTGGAGACGAGCCGCGCGGATCCAGTCGATCAACACCTCAGTGACCTCATCCTTGCGGCGCAAGGGGAAGACTGTGGTGTAACGCGAGTAGTCGTCAACCACCAGCAGGAAGTAGCGCTCGTGACCCTGTCCACGGACGCGGGCTGGGCCCCACACGTCCATGTGAAGAGTCTGCAGCGGAGCCTCTGTCGGCGGAAACTCGGAGGAGTGAGGAGTGGCGCGCTGCCGCCCCTCGACGCAGGGGACGCAGGTAGGGGCAGGCCCCGGGGGGAGGGGAGGGAGCGACCGGGGGAGACCAGAGACCAGGACACGAGAGGCCATGCCTCGGAGACGAGGCAGGGAGGGGTGACCAAGATGGTGGTGCCAGAGAAGAGTCTCGTGGGACAGGAGGCGACACGAGCAGGGGGCAGACTCAGGACCAGACCGAGACGCCGCAGCAAACACCTGACCCGACGCAGCTACCTGACCAGGCACAGCAACCGGAGGAGACTCGGTAGTGAGGGTGTACAGGCTCGACCCCGGCCGACAGGTAAACGTGGCCAAGTGTCGACCTGTGTCTGCACACGTGCAGTGGGTCACCCGCTGACGAGCAGGGGTGAACTGGTCAACTCCCCCATCCTGTAGGTCAGCATTCGCCACCAAGTTCGTAGAGAACGAGGGGAGGTAAAGACCGCAACCGGCCGACGGAGCGGCGTGAGAGTGGTGCGGGAGCCAGACGGGACCGCTGAGCGGCGTGACAGGGAGCCAGACGGGACCGCTGGACACGGTAGTACAGTGGAGTAGTGGGCAAGAACAGGACCCCCAGAGGGGTCTGCCAGGGAGACCGCAACCGGCCGACTGAGCGGCGTGAGAGTGGTGCGGTCTCGAAAGAAGGAGCGGGAAGCACCCAAGTCAAGGGTGAAAGTGTGCGACGCCGGAGCAGACGTGGTACCTGAGAGAGCAGACTCACCAGCACCTGGAGCAGCAGACTCACTAGCACCTGGAGCAGCAGACTCAGTGGCACCTAGAGCAGCAGCTGCACCGCCCGGGTCGGGCGGAGCACTCAGGGAACAGTC